GCAGAGGGGGAGGAGAACCTCCCTTGACCTGAGGAGCAAACCTGTTGCTGCCAGGCAGCTCCAGCCTGGCTGCTCGACCTACCTGAGGAATATATTAAAGACACTCTGGCCTATGGAGCCAGATTTCAAGCCATCAGACCTCTGAGGCTCAGGGAGGTAGAAGGGATATGCTATTTGCTACAGAACTTCCTCACCTCATGTGAATAAACCCCACAAAACCAAGGCTACGGGACTGTGAAGAGCAAAAGGACTGGGGCTCGCTGAGAGGCAGTTTGGAGGAGGTGAGCAGAGGTGACACCCACCCTGAGTCTGGATTGGGTTGAAGAAGGGGAACTTGTCCTGGTAGAGGCTCTCGAAGGCGCTGTTCCGCAGAGCCGACACGGGCAGCGGCTGCAGATCCAGCAGCTCGGTCGGAGGAGGGTACTTCTCAGGGAGGATCAGGTGGCGGAAGGACACGGGCAGCTGGGTCTCACAGGCTGTCAGACACACCAAAAAACCCCACTGTCATCTCCAAAAACACTCCAACCCTTTCATCTCCGAGCTCCCTCTGCCAACAGGATCCCCAGCCCTGCTGTCACTCAGATGTCACAAGTCTTTTCCCTCAGCACAGCACCAGGAAAGGTCCTGAACGACCCCCTCAGACCCCAAGGAGAACCACTGCTCCATAACCCAGATGCTCCTGGCAGAGTGAGACTTACAGAGCCAACGGTCAGAGACCACCCGGATGAAGTACTGTGGGGGCAGGGGCTCAAACACAGGCACGAAGAAGGTGACGAGGTGCTCGTCCTGCGCGTACTTGGCTTTCAGTAGGAAGTACTCGTGGTGCAGGATCACCTCGCTGTCCACATCCTCCACCAGGATCCAGAAAGCTTCGGATGAACCATGTACCTGAGCAAAAGGAGCTGTTACCTTCATATCAGAGTCCAGATCCTCCCTTCTTCCACATCTCCAGCCCTCCCACAGCAGAACCCCACTCCAGAAGTGTCCTCGGTGTTTAGCCGGGCGATATTTTAGCTCCACATCTCACCTTCTCATCCCACTGGAAGTCAGGGGCAATAGTAAGTTCTACTTTCAAGGTGGAGCGGGTAATGGGCTGCAAATGGACCGAGAGCTCCAGTTTTGGAAACAGATGAACGTATTTATGGATTGTCTTGCCCATCTTAGGCATTCGGATCAGTTCTCCTGTAACAGAAAGGTGGTGCTGTCAGGACAGACGGACAACAAGGTGACCAAGAGCTCCCAAAAGCTCCCAAACTGAACAGTATTTTAATATCAGTGATCCAAGCAGCTGGAAGGTGCCAGGGAAAAACCTCTGCCCTTCTCAGGCTGCACAAAAAACCTCACCAGTTCTGCCCCTTCAATCAGCCAGGAACAAATCCCCCCATTTCTGGGTCAAAACATGGCAAAGGAGAAGAAAGAGGAGGACACCTCTCCCACCACCTCTGCCCGTGTCTCCGTACCTATCTCGTTATGGTTCAAGTCGTAGAGCCGCTCGAACGGGAAATTCTTCTTCTCTATTTTCTTCACCACTTCTTCAGGCAGTTTCTTGAACTGACGCAAAGGGCACATGGACTGCCACCTGCCAGGACACCACCGGGTGAGACAAGCAAAGAAACCAAGTTCTTCAGAGCACCAAGGTTCCCCGTGCTGGTGAAGATCAGCTCTCAGCCCACACAGCAGCTCCTTCACACCCTGACAAGCACAAGCACTCTCCTTGCCAAACACTGCACACCCAGCCAGGTGATGCTGAAGGATCTCATCCAGCCTGCAACCACCAGAAAATACCTCTGAGATCTCACTTACATGCGCTTGTCGATCATCTTGCAGAGGTTGAGGGTCTTGTCGGTGAGCTGGGCCCAGCCACGGTTCAGGACGATCTCGAAGATGGCACGCATCAGCCGCCCAGCAGACTGGGGAACAGAGAGCAGCTCTCAGACCTGGGCCACCAGCATCACTTTCGACTCTTTCTTCCTTTCTACCCATTTTCCTGCCCAGCCATGTGATAATAGAGTGGTTTGGGTGGGAAGGGACCTTTTAAACATCATAGAATCATCAAATGTTGTGAGCTGGAGGGGACCCACAAGGACCATGGAGTCCAACTCCTGTCCCTGCACAGGACAATCCCAACATTCACACCATGTCCCTGAGGGCACATGTTGGCCAAATGCTGCTGGAATCTTGTCAGGCTTGGTGCCATCAGCACCTCCCTAGGGAGCCTGTTCCAGTGCTCCACCACCCTCTGCCTCAAGAACCTTTTCCTCATGGCCAACCTCACCCTCCCCTGCCACATCTTCCTGCCATTCCCTCTGCTCCTGGCATTCGTTGGTGGCCAGAGAGAAGAGATCAGTGCCTGCCCCTCCTCTGCCCCTTGGGAGGAAGTTCTAGACCCCCAGGAGATCTCCTCTCAGTCTCCTCTTCTCCAGGCTGAACAAATCAAGGGTCTTCAGCCGCTCCTCACACAGCTTCCCCTCTAAACCCTTCACCAATTTGGTGGATCATCTAGTCCAACCCCCCGGCCATGGGCAAGGACATCTTTCAATAGACCAGGTTGCTCTGAGCCATGACCAACCTGACTTTAAACACTTCCAGGGATGGGGTGTCCACAACTTCTCTGGACAACCTGGTTCAGTGTCTCACCACCCTCATCATAAAAAGATTCTTCCTCACATCCAACCCAGATCCCTCCTCCTTCAGTTTAAAACCTTTACCCCTTGTCCGATCACAACAGGTCCTGGTAAAAGTTAATGACAAAACAAGGGGAAATGGGTTTAAGCTGAAAGAGGGGAGGTTTAGATGAGATATTAGGAAGAAGTTCTTCACTGTGAGGGTGGTCAGACACTGGAACAGGTTGCCCAAGGAAATTGTGGATG